GGCATGGTTTAATATTGACTTTTCCTGTCTTCTAAAAGACAACTCTGTGTATGTAGATTTTACTGTTCTGAACCAAGAAAAGTATGTTGTTACTGCTACACCATTCAAATGTTGGATGATAAAAGTCTGTCAACTGGAAATATGAGCACTTCAGTATTGTATTTTAATGCACTCCCCCCCCATTTCCCCATTTCTTTCCCATTGCTGTTGTAAACAGGCGCCGGTTCGATTTTGCCTCCCCATCCCGCATGGACCGCAATGTAGAGATGTTCCTGCAGGTGGAGAAAGCATTGGTTGGCTCCCGCTGTTTTGTCCTGCCCCAAATTTTTATAAAGCCAGAGGTTGACAAGGCTCTGGTGCCCAAGCTTCGCGACATTGTCAAGCGACACCAGGGGACTGTGGTGGACACGGTCGAGTCAGCCAGTCACATCGTGCACACCATGCCTCAGAACCCCCCTGCGCAGGAAGGTGAATGTTAGTGCCCACTTTTTTCTTAAGCCTGCCTCGACGTTGTCTGTTCCGTACTTTTTTTTTTGGTTGTTGATAGAAACATCCGTTGTGGTTAGTGGTACAGTTATAAATGCCGCTTCCAGTGACGCTAACCGTAGAAGCAAGCTTGATTGGTTGTAGCCTATTGCTTGTAATTGTTGTTGCCTGTAAAATTTTTTTGGCAAATGACTGCCTGGTCTAGCCTTTGATAAATTGATTAAAAGGCATGCTCCCTAACAGTATTTCTATTTCATTTCACCCATAACACTACTTCAGGTCTGAGGCTGATGTGTGTTTTAGCTTGTGCTGACATTTGTCCTGATGGATGGAAAAGTGGATGTAGGATTGTGACAGATTTCACAGTACAACAAATTTATTTGACATTTAAACCGAGCATTCAATTAATCTTTTAAATGTTTTACTCACGATTCACCCTTTTGCTGGTAGTTTTGCAATCAGTGCACTGTTTGGTCTTAATAAATTTCTTAAATGATGTGGGGAAAAAAATAAAGTTGAATTTAATGAAAGAACTGTTATTGGTGTTATAAAATCTTGGCATAAAGAAATAAAAGCGTATATGAGATGTGGTATTTTAGTGGATGCTCAGATAGATGTTTAACACATTACACCCTAACTCGCCCGGGATCGCCCGTGAATTCCCTTACGCGCTCCACCCTGACTCGCCCGGAACTGCCCGCGCCGACCCAGCGTCTTTAGAAATGAAAGTCTCTGGGGCCGGGATTTTGATTTGCATAGTATAGCAAAAAGTTTCTTCTTTCGTTTGATACCAAAACGAAATTTTTCGGGCCAGTAGTGTTAGTATTAGAGCTGATTGAAGTGCGATCGCGTTACCGACACTTCGAAAGTGCCTCGACTTGTTGAAAAGCGACACAATTGAGTTCGAAAACAGAAATAACGATGGATTTGAGCAAAAACGAGCATGTGACAAATCAGATGGCTCAGATTTTGATGAAAACGTTGTAGGAAGAGTTTGGGGCGATTCCGATTGATCAGACGGAGAAATTATAGAATTTAGATCTAGGGCCCGACCGCGAGGCTGAGAGTGAGAGTGACGGGTCGGACACCCCGATTGAACTAAAGTTAGAACATTTCCAACAGTTTGCGCATACATAAAGTTATATTTTTCTGAAACTACATTCAGTTTTCTTTTTAACTTTTATTTTTTCAGGATTTTTGGAATTTGTTTAGTATTTTTAAAATGTGTTTTTTAAAGGCTAGTATTCACGGGAGGTGGGTTCTTTCCCCTTGCTTAGGATCTAACAATGGACTTCCCGTCCAGGCCCTTAGGGTGTAATGTGTTAAGATACAGTGATTTCCCATTTGAGTGTGGCTATTATATCGGTCATAGCTGCCACTTTCCCGCTAAATAGCGGAAACTCCGCTACATCTAGCTTTCCCCGCAACTTTCCTCCTTCCTCCGCTGGACCGCTCTTGGTCGCAAATTTCATACTTTTTTTTCCACGCGGAAAACACCGAACCGGGAGAGAGACGAAAACGCGGTCTGCGCATGTCCGCCCGTAGCTTTCTACTTCCGTTCTTCTAGGCCCAGCGCTAGTTTCACATTGTTCATTGTTGTGGAGCAACACAGTGTCGATCGGGCATCGGGACGTTAGCGCGCCGAGTTGTCATTGAAATTGGCGGAAATTCGAGAGAAATTGATTCAGAATGCAAAAATAAAAGGAGCTGGAATGAGAAAGAAGCAGCCGGTGTGCGACTTGAAAAGTTCATTAGAAAATTGAACTAGATCTAGCTGTTTTTTGCGAAAGAAATCGCGGCCCGCGGCACTCCTGTTACAGTCCTGTACAATTGCGGTCCCGTTTGTTTACATGACGGCTATTGTGGCTGCTGCGGAAGTGAATCTAGATCTAGATTTAGATCTAGAAAATCTATCTCTAGATATAATTTAGATCTACACATATTTAGATATATCTAGATCTAGATTAGATAGCCTAGGCTATAATTTTAATTCAATTTATCTCTAAATAAGAAACACACTACAGGTCAGGGGCACTAAGTGCAAACTGGACCGCCATTGTACAGGAGTGCCTGTGTATCCTTGATCCGATACTGCTCTACGTCTATGTATGTACACGTTTAAAGTGAAAGAAATCTTTTTATGAGACACCAGCTGGCAAAAAACACTAGATTTTTAGTCACCAAGTCCAAACTGTGTCAAATTGACTCGAATGCTTGTTTGTCAACTTACTGCCTTTAATGTTGTTGTTTTTTGTTGTTGTTTTTTTCAAATACATTTTAATTCAGTTGCCTATGGTTAACAATATGACAGTCTTCCCTTCCAAAACCGTAGGCTAGATTTTTCAGTATATATTGCCTCTGGATCTCACTGGTTTCGGAGAGCGCGCGTACGCTTTCGCGTGAATTTCCTCCTTTTTAAAAATTTCTGAGTGGCAGCTATGATCGGTGAGTTTACTTAGGCACCGCCCTCAAATAAAACGTTTATTTTACAATACACTTTTTAAAATTGAATTTTCATCATAGGAAAGGAGTGCTGATCCACATGTTCCTGTGCAAGTTGGTTATGACTTGCAGGCTTGCATTATTGAGTGTTTTTTGTTTTTTGTTTTGTTTTGGTATTGTATGGCTGTTGGTTGACAAATATTTTACATTATTTTTTTTTCAGCGGAGGAATTTTTCAGACCAACCATGAAGAGAGACAAAGGATACAACATTCACTGGTGGTACTTTCCAGACAGGTAAGATATGCTGTTAGGCTTTTATTTTTCTGATTTGTTAACAGGGTCTTAATTGCTTTGTTTGTCAACATCGAAAGTTAGTGAAACTTTTGACTCCTTTCATTGACAGGTTGATATGTTTTCATTTCTCTGTCCATTCTGATGTCTTATTATTTTTTTTTACACACCGATAAGAGGATGGCTCTTGTGCCCTGTGTGCTTTTTATGTAGCCCTTATTGGATTTCCTTATTGAACTGATATTGATAATGCTGTACCACTAAGACTTCAATCAAGTTCATGATTCAGTGCATGTAATGCCTGTCAGCTTAAAAACGAAAACCAAATTCACTCCCTTGTGTGTACAAGTTCATAATTTGTTTATTTGCAGCTATGATTCCTGGGTGACTGATGTGAACATAGAGTATGACTTCGACCAGAACGAGAAGCCTGCAGTATGGGAGGTAAGTCGACTCTAATGAGCTGCTCGCATAGTGGACATAGGCTTGCTAGTCGGGGACGGATTGTGTGGTGCTGGACCGATGTGAACTGATGATATCTAGTGTCTTATGTGATGCCCACGGTAGTAACTGAACAGCATTTCTCATGTGTTGATTGATTACTTGAGAGGGACTTGTTTCCTACTTTTTATTCATGAATTGTAGAAGATAGTACATGTATTTGCTTTGTGATTAAAAGAACATGGGGGGGGGGGGGGGGGGGGGTTTGGTTATATTTTAAAGGTGTAACTATTTTTACCTTCACTGTCAGTTTTCATTGCGTCTTTGTTGATTTATTTGCTTTCAAAGACTTTATGTTTATCACTGTTTTACAATGAAACAAGTTAACCTTTGGATAAAAAATACAATGAAAAATGTAAAAATGGCATGATATGATCGTGATGGGTTACTTCGGCAATGCAAGGTTATAGAAAAGTTTTCTAATTTGTTCATTTCAACTGATGGTCATGGAGTACCATTGATACTGTGTAAGTCTGTTTTGTTTGTTCCTCGTCTTTATAGTTAATTATCAATGTCAGCGAGCTTATCGTTAAAATCCACGGCAGAAAACTAGTCATAAAACTGAACACGAAGAAAGTTTCCTCTCCAAACTGATGCTGCCTGAATTGTCCTTAGGCCATTCCCAAAGGGGAGGATATTAACATGTTATGTTTTTAGGCACAGCAGAATTGTAAATGGGCTGATTTATCAATGTCATGCTCATGCTGTGCCGGAGCAACATCAGGGGAACTGCTGCTTTTTTTTCCCCTCATCCTTACTATCGTAATTTTTCCTATTCTTCTTTTGTATGTTTGTCACTCTCTTGTGAACTGCTATTTCCGGGGTGCCTTGATAGTCAAAGCAGACCTTGTGCTGTTGGGACTAGAGAGGTGAGCAGAGTAAGCCTGATTCCCCGTTTGGACTTCTCTGTTCACATCCACCCCTTGGCGCTCATATGACCGAATGCAGTTGCGAATGCCGTAAAACCTTACTAAAACAAAAAAGTTTAGTGTTATTTTAAAACGACAAAAAAACTCAAATTGGGAAGTGGTCATTTGTGCAGGTGATTGTTTAGGACAGATGGTTGTTTAGGACAGGTGGTTGTTAAAGAAGGTTTGACTGTTAATGTGTTTCTAAATTTGCTGATATCAACAGGTAGTAATGGAGTACCATCCCATGCTATATAATAGTCTTGTTTTATTTGTTCCATGTCTTTATAAGTTTATAGCCATCATTATGCCAGTGAGCTTATCATTCCAACCTAGGCCCAAAAACAGAAGTTGTAAACTTGAACGGCAATAGAGTGCCTTCTCATTTAAACGATGATGAGAGATGAGATTTAAAAGTATTCGGAACGATTTGTTATGATGAATTTGTTGATTGAGCCACTGATACTAATGATGGCAATTTATTCTTTTACTAGAGAGAAAGCTGAGCTTGGGTATTTCTAAAAAGTTTTAAAAAGAAAGGATCTTTGTATCTTTTTGACAGGTCAGTGCGCGGTGGCTTCTGGACCTGGAGGAGTTCAACGAATGGATGAATGAGGAAGATTATCTCGTGGAGGACGAGTTTAATGTAAGTTGACCTAATTCAAGTTTCCTGCTTTTTCTGACATTTTTAAAGAGATAGAATTTTTGTTTCTGAAATTGATGAGAGTTTTTTTTTCTGTTTTGGTCAATGTATAATGTATTTTATTCTTCTGTAAGTTCTTTCCTCACAAATTAAAGCTTCAGTCAATTCCAGGTTGTTTTTTTTGGTCCTTGATTTATGTGGTGTGGGGGGTGGGGATGTTGTACTGAGGGTTCTACCTTTTTTTCCCTTTTCCTGTTGTTTCTGTTTGTCTTGCTCCCC